TTACAAATTCAGCAAACCCGTTTTTTCCCCACCTGGACAATTTAAAAATGGGTGGATTAAAACCCCCAAATTCCCCAAGCCGGCGGGGGGGGGGGGGGAATTCTGGGAGTTGAAGTCCACACATCTTAAAGTTGCCAAGGTTGAGAAACACTGATTTAAACAATGGAAGAGTATAAACATATGTTTGTGTTTGTTCCGTATGATTGACATTCCAGAACCTGTAGAAATCTCTGCAAGAAGGCTTTCCTGGCACAGGCCCTCCCAAGGTTACAGCCAGAGGCCTCTGAAGAGATCTCAAGTGACAAAATGAGCACTGGGTGGTGCAGTGCAAATTCCACCTCTTTCGTATGCATGACTGTGGCCCTTCACATTTTACAGGACTGCTGTTTTCATCATCTTTCACCACTGGCTGGTCTGATTGTGGCTCAAGATAGCTGCTGTCTTACAACCCTTGGATGCCAAACACCCACTTGTCAGAGAGAGCAAATATGATGCAAAATGTGCACATTATTATTAGATATACATATCCAGCCTTTATTTTGTACAACTCAAGGCTGCATACATAATGCTCCCATCTCTTGTTTCCCCCACAACAACCCTGTGAGATAGGTTGGGTTGAGAGAGAGTTATTGGCCCAGAGTCACTCAGGATGTCTAAGGGAGGAGGAGTTTCTCTGCTCCTTGTCTGTTCCTCTGCTCCTACCTTCTCTGCTCCTTGTCTAGCATTGCAATATGCTTATCCAGCAAGATTCTGGGTCTAACTCTGCAGTGATCAAGGGGAAGATAATAAATAGCATTTGTATTCTTAAAATGCAATCTAGCTTCACACATCATCAGTGAGGACAAAAAGAGAACACATTTCCCTAGAGCTCATGTCAAGTTTTGTATATGTATATACACGCATATACATACACACATGCAAATTATTATTTTTTTAAAAAAAAATAGATGTGTGCCTTAGCATTCTGAGGACATGTTGACTTTTGGATTCCTCCGCAAACACTACTAGCCATTTGAGAAGTTTGGGAGCTCTATCCTCCTTTTGCATCATGCTTTAAACTGGGAGGACTGGATAGCTTTTCCAACAGAGTCTACTTGCAAATGGAGGACTGTTCTTTGCTACCTCTCAGAGAATTGTGTCCTCTAAAATAGGAGGCTCCTGCAATCTGGGACGGAACCTTCAGCTCCTTCCTTAGCAGGTCAGCTTTGCTGCATGTACAGAAACGATGTTTTCTAATCTGTAATTAATGGAATATGATTTTAAAAAAATATTAATGGCATCTTCTAGAATTGGAGGTTTGAATATCATTTAAGTACAGTTGCTAGGCACTCAAAAAGAACAAAAAGCAAGGCGATTTGTGAACTAAGTATAGTTCTCTCAGTGTCCATACTCATGTTATCAACATGACAGTATCTGTCACTAAAAAAAAAAAAAAGAGAGAGAGAGAAAGTGTTAAAGTACAAACAGCTCAAACAACTTTAGGAAAAAACTTAGGCCGGGATTTTTTTCCCCTGGGAATGGCGGGCCGGGTGGACCTTGGGGGGGGGG